ATAAGCGAATCGATAAAGAGAAATCAAGAAAGAGTAAACATCGTCACCGAAGTCGTTCAGTCTCAAAGAAGAAGTCCAAACGAAGACGCTCACCAAGCAGGTCACCGTCCACTGAAACGTCCTCTTCGTCGTCGATTCGCACTCCTCAACCAGCGGTTCGTTCGTTCGTGTCCTCTTCTGCATATTCTTAATTCATTTCAGTTTTTAGTCTTCAAGATGCAATTTGCTTTTTTACAGTTTTGAACAGCAGAAATTTAAAACACACATCGCACAGATGTTCGATAATGCAGTTTCTTTTTAATTTTAAATGTGAATAGATACTTTTTTAAACGAATTTTTCAACTGTTTTCTTTTTCTTTGGAGAAAAAATCTTTTCTAAGAGAAAATTCATTTAGTATTGATTTTATTTTCATTCGTTATAAGGTTAAAGTAATCGAAAAAAATCAAAATTTAGATGTCATCCGGTCACGTTGTGCCACCGCCACCTCCACCGCCACTAACGACCGGTATAATAATGCCTCCAACATCGTCATATATGCCTCCCCCTGTACCCGTACCCATCAGTATGGACGCTACGGCCTATCAGACGGCTATGTCTTCATATAATACGCCGTATGGATATCCAAGTCAAGTAGGTCTTTTTGGATACGTTTATTTTAGTTGTGGCTTATCGGATTTGTGTCTTTTGAATGAATGATTTGTAGGCGAGAAATATTCATGATTAAGTTGCATTCGTTATATTTGAATGTATTTGAGTTGTAAGAAAATTAGTGATTTTTAAATGCTCAAATATTGCAAAAAAAGACGCCAACTGCACCGAGAACATTCAGCAAACTTAAGTGGTGAACTGAAAACGGACGAATTCAACATAAAGTCTTAAAACGAATTTCATTCGAATCATAAAACTTTTCGAAACGTTTCAGTATTCGACGTATTCGATTCCACCGCCACCTTACGCTCAACCGCCACCCTTACCTCCTCCTCCATCAGCTCCCGAACCAATAATTCCACCTCCTCCGTTGCCCCCTCTGCCGGCCGCGATGCCTCCAACGGCACCGATGCCCCAGCCCCCTCCCCCCACATCAATGCACCAACAACTACCGCCCTTACCCACCATGCCAGCCAACATACCTCCTCCGTCCATACCAATCCCAGTACCACCCCCCGCAACCACCACTATACCCCCGTCGACCCTCATCATACCCCCACCAGCGTCATCGTCCTCGTCCTCGTACAAGACCTCATCGGCGACAATATCGTCCACCACACAGCCATCTGCCAGCACTTCGCAACACCCAAAACGAACCTTCTGTCGTCCACTGTTCGTTTTTTTTTTGTATCTTTCAGTCACTTTTTACACTAATTTTGATCGGTATGCATTCAATATTTTGCAAANTTTCTTATGCTTATTGTTAGACGCTTGCGAAATTTGCCTCTAGAAATGAAATTCGGTGATTTCTTTCGAGTTTCTGATACCATTTATGTAAAATGGCAAAAAATATTACGTTGATTCATAATTTATGAATCACTGTTGGTTCAAACATTTGTTCATGCAAAATGTTTCGGTGGTGTTGGAAAATTGATTAATCGAATATAATTTCAGTGTTTTGAATAAACGTCTTAAACTTCGTGAGGATCCCGAAAATTGGGGTTGTTCAACGGTCGAGAAATATGACATTAAAACACAAGTTGGTGAGGGTACTTATGGTCAGGTGTATAAGGCAGTCGATAAATATACTGGTTTGTCTCGATTGTTGCTATTATGATTATTATGATTACACGTATTTTGTTTGTTTAGCTGTGGTGAACTGTCCACATCGTATGGTAATATTTGTTTTCTTGAATCTGAGACATGAAATGGGCATGTGGAAACGTATTGTACAATTTAATATCAGATTTTTGTAAATCACGTTATAGGTGCAAAAATTCATATGTGTCAGCGATGAAATTGACTGTTTGAACTGGACATTTTGTATATTTTGTTGATTTCTTTCAAAAGATAATTCTGAATTATTTTTGACAATTTCAACTGTAAAGTTATGCAAACCCTAAATGATAATTGGTGATTCGTTGAATGAGAGTATTTGACAGAAGCGTATTTAAGGTGAAATAGTGGCGTTGAAGAAGGTACGTCTCGAGAATGAAAAAGAAGGATTTCCAATCACGGCAGTACGTGAAATTAAGATTCTACGACAGTTGAATCATAAGAATGTGGTGAGATTGGTGGATATTGTTACCGATAAACAAACTGCTGCTGATTTTCGACGAGATAAAGGTGAGTGAGTATCATCCGTGTGATGGGCATCCACTGATGCTCGTCTCTGTTATTATTGAGCGTAAAAGCCAGTTGGAAAGTTTTACAATCGTCAGTTATGTGCTGCGTGTTAGATGTTAGTCGTTTGTGGTCACAGGAATTATGCAGTTGTTTACAGTGAACGGAATTGTGCCAAAGTGTAGCGTGAAGAATTTCGTTTTGTTTCAGTGAAATTCGAATGAAGTAATGAAAAGATATGATCATTGCTCGCAGATTTATATTTATGATAATGTGAAATGATTATTTGATTTAAATTATGATTATTTGTTGTGAATTATATAAGAGGAAAGTGCAAATTCAGGCGCATTCTATCTGGTATTCGAATATTTGGATCATGATTTGATGGGTTTGTTGGAGAGTCAGTTCGTGGACTTTAGCGACGATCAAATAGCATCGTTCACAAAACAGTTAATATCCGGATTGGAGTATTGCCACTCGATTGGATTCCTTCATCGTGATATAAAGTGCTCGAATATATTGCTGAACAATCGTGGTGAGATTAAGTTGGCTGATTTTGGATTGGCGAGGTTGTACGATGAGGATCAGGACAGACCGTACACGAATCGAGTGATCACTCTCTGGTATCGACCACCTGAGCTGCTGTTGGGCGAGGAACGATACTCGACTGCTGTGGACGTGTGGAGTGTTGGGTGAGTTGTTTGGTTGATGAAATAATTTATTGTCGTGTGGTGTTAGTTGACATTTGATTAATGAGCTTGGTTTCAGATGTATTCTGGGTGAGTTGTACACGAAAAAGCCGATATTTCAAGGTAGTTCGGAGATGATGCAACTGGAAGTGATATCGCGAATCTGTGGCACTCCTTCACCAGAGAACTGGCCTGATGTCATCAACCTGCCTTTGTATTGTAGTTTTAGACCAAAACGTACCTATGCACGAACGTTGAGAGATGCCTTCGGATTGTGGGTTTTCTTTTGTGTTGTCTTTATTCTGTTCGCTTTTAATTGCTCAAGAAATATTTATTATTCATTTGTTGATCGACCTCTTAAAAGTTTTGTTCTGTTAATTTGTGTTATTCTGTTCATTTGGAGAATTTTTTAGATACATTCCTTTTAGATACGTATGTACGTATCTTTATCACTTCGTTGTGTATAGTATCTGATTGCTGACAGCGTTGAACGTTTTTAGATANTTATTCATTTGTTGATCGACCTCTTAAAAGTTTTGTTCTGTTAATTTGTGTTATTCTGTTCATTTAGAGAATTTTTTAGATACATTCCTTTTAGATGCGTATGTACGTATCTTTATCACTCCATTGTGTACAGTATCTAATTGCTGACAGCGTTGAACGTTTTTAGATACAATCCGTTCGAAATATGGACGGAATGTATCTCAAAAAATATTATCGGTTAATTTATTGATTTGTTCGAATTTATTGTTTCAGCCTTCGAGAGGCAGCATTGGATTTGTTAGATCGTTTATTGGAGCTGGATCCTCGAAAGCGAATGACGTCAAGACAAGCGCTGCAGCATCCGTGGTTGAAAGACCTCAATCCGAATGCCATTGAACCACCGAAATTACCGGATTGGCAAGATTGTCATGAAATGTGGTCGAAGAAACAACGCAAAAATCGTGCAAGTTAGATTTTTTATTTGCTGTTCTCATTTGGATTTTTTGTTTGATCTAATTTTACTCTGAGTATGACGATCACTCTTCAAAAATATGGCGGTCACTCCCTTGGATCGTTGGGGGAGTGGAGAGGGTGGGGGATAGGGGTTGAATTTGGTTGAAATAGTGTTGTTCATGTAGTGGTGTTCATTCATTTATTGTCTGAGCATATTCGTAGGATCATTTTTTCATTTTGTGAAGCAATACCTTTTTCGTACGCCAATCATTTAATTCAATCGGTTCACTCTAATTTTCAACGAAAGACTGGAGTGGTGTATATGTCTACAAATGTGTTTTAGTATATGAATAGGAGTATGAAAATAATAGCATTGACATAAATATCTCTGAAAGCAGTCAATTAAAGGTGGCATTATGTCGGCTGCATCAACCTCATCTCAGTCGCATTCGATCCCTCCGCCCGTACAACATCACTACTCATCACGCCCTTCCACTTCTTCGTCGCACCAAGTTCGTGAAACGAAATCGTATTTTTTTAAAATTTGATTTCTCAAAAAGGATTTTTTTCGTTCGAGACGTTTTTCATAAATTTTATTTCTTATAATCCACTGAATCGTTATAAATTCGTTTGATTTGTGATCAGAATTTTTGATCTCATTGAAAGAGCAT